GACTGGAGGTCAATGACGTAGGGCGCCAGCTGGACATCGACCTGTCCCAGCACCACGCTGCCACGGGCGTCCTCCTTCAGCACGTTCTCGATGTGGTGGCACACGGCGGCCGAGTAGGGCCGCCAGCGCCCGTGCTCGTTCAGCCACTCCCACACCACCACTCGGGCTACATTTTGGGGGGGGAACCCCAGGCCCCCCGAGGCCAGCATGGCCCCCGAGCCCTGCCGAGCCATGCCCGGGGGACAGCGGCTCAGCCCCGCGCCGTCCCCCGCCACGGGGGCGCGGGGGTCACCCGGGGGTCCCCCAAATCCTCCTGCCGGCGGCGGGCGGCTGCGGGCCCCGGAGCTCAGCGGAGCCGGCGCTGCGGGGCTCTGCAGAGGCGGGTGCTGCCGGCCAGGTCCCCGCGGTCCCCGAGCCGCCCGGTGCCGCTCCCCCGGGGCCGCCGCGCGGGGCCGGGGCCATCCATCACCCGGCACGTCTTCCCCGGCTCTTCCTCCTCCCGCCGGTGCTGCCGGCAGCGCTCGGGCTCCAAAAAGCCACCAGGACCTCGCAGGCTGCGTCGGATGGAGGATGGCGGTGTGCTGTGAACGGTGATGGGGACACACGAGTCACCGTGCTGTCCCCTAGACGCCCACTCCTCCTCTTCCTCCTCGTGTCCTGCGCTCAGCCCACGTCCTCGCCGGTTCCACGGCTGTCCCCACGGCTGTCCCCACGGCTGTCCCCGCCGCCCGGCGCGTCACCGGTGGCAAGTGAGGGGGTGTCACCTGCAAAACAGGCCACGGGTCACCCCAGGTACCGCCGGGCGGGTGGCAGCTGGGGGAGCGTCCCCATCGCCCCGCCGAGCCGGAGGGCAGCGCGGCCACGGTGCCCGCAGCCCTGGCAGCGTGGGCCGCTCGCCAACCCGGCCGGCTGCTGGCCTCCAGCATGACAGAGGGGACAAAGGGGACAGGGGGGGACGGGCCACCCTGCTGACGGCCCCGGGGGGCTGCCGGGGGTCTCACGAGCCCGGGAAGCCTCATCGCTCCCCGCGCCGGGGCTCTGGGTGCCGGGGAGCCCGCGGGCCCTGGATCCCGCTCCAGCCGCCGCTGATTTATGATCTGCACTGCAGGCATCGGGCTGGGGGCGATCCCGGCCCCCCGCTGCCCCCGATCCCACCCACGGCAGCCCCCGGCCCGCGCAAGGGGGGGTTCGCTGCAGGAACAGGCGGCAGACAGAGGGACAGCCACGGCCGGGCGCACACAGACACACCGCCACGGAGAGACACGGGCACACGCGCAGCCGGTGACACGGACAGACAGCGGCACCGACAGGGGCGCACGGACGGCCGCGGGGAGCCACAGGGCAGCACAACAACCCCCCCGCGGCCACCCGCGCGGCCACCCGCTCCGCACGGCCGTGCACACACGCACCGCGCACCCCACTCGCGTGTGCGCCCGCCCCGCGCCCGCCGTGACCCCGAGCACCGCGGAGCGGGGGGGACCCTCACCCCAGCCCTGAGACCCCCGGGACGCCGCCAACCATCCCCGGGGCCAACAGCCCCCCCAAAGCGGGGCCTGGCTGCTCTTTCTGGAGGGGGGGGTTGAAAGACCAGGCCTGGCCCCCGTGCGCGGTGCCCCCCCCCCGCCGCACGGCAGCCCCCCGGTGCGGGGTCCCCCGCCGGCGGCCGGTCCCCCGCCATGCACGGCAGCCCCCGGGCCGCCGGTGCACGGCCCCGCGGCTCACGGTATCCCCGAGCGCGGCGGGCTCTCCCCGCTCGGTGCCTGTTGTGTGCCCCCCCGGCGCACGGTCCCCCGCGCTGCACGGCAGCCCCCATCCCTCCGCCGCACGGTCCCCCCGAGGCACGGCGGCCCCGCCACCCCCCCGGTGCCTCGTCCCCCCACCCCGGTGCCCGGTTGTCAGCGATGCACGGCACCCCCAGCCCGCCGGTGCCCGGTCCCGCCGCCCCCCGAGCCGCCCCCCCGCCCGCTATGGCCGCCGCCGCCCCAACCGCGGCCCCCGCCCGTTACCTCCGGCGGCCGCGGCCGCACCGGGACCCGCGGCCGCTCCGGGAGCGGCGGCGGCGGCGGCGGGCGCGGGGCCGGGCGGCGGCAGCGCTCAGCCAGCGCCAGGCAGCCACCGACACCGGCACCGGCGGCGCGCACGGCCGCGGGCACCCGAGCCGGGAACGCGCGGCGGGAACGCGCGGCGGGGAGCGGGGGCGCGCACGGGGGAGCTGGCATCGGCACCGGGATCGGGAATAGGCACGGGGGAGCGGGCACCGGCACTGGGATCGGGAATAGGCACGGGGGAGCGGGCACCGGCACCGGGATCGGGAATACGCACGGGAAAGCGGGCACCGGCACCGGAGGCGCACATCGGGACCGGGGTCACGGTCGGGGGAGCCGGGACACGCAGTGGGGACACGCACCGGGACCGGTGTCTGCACCGGGGACACGCACGGGGATGGGGCACCCACACCGAGGCCGGGCACTCACACCGGGGACACGTGTGGGGACACCCCTGGGACACGAGGGGACCAGGATCTGCAGTGGGGACCTGTTCTGGGTGTGGGCACCCACAGTGGGGACACACCAGGAGCAGGGACACGCGTGGGGGAGCAGGGACACACACTGGGGCATCTGCACTGGGGCCAGGCACCCCCACTGGGGACACACACTGGGTGTCCCCATGGGGGGTTGTCCCCCAGGTGTGTCACCCTGCTTGAGGGGACACTTTGTCCCCCCGCCTTAGGACAGGCGTTTCCCACAGCCTCGTGGGGAAACTGAGGCACATGAGGTGTCAGGAGGCCCTGAGCCACAAAGGCACCCCAATATCTGTCACCTTCAGCCCAAGGGCTTGTGGCTCTGCCTGCCAAGGGACAGAGCTGAGGACAGATCTGGGGATGGGAGCTGTCACTCTGGCTGAGACCATGAAGGGACAGACCTGGAGGCAGGGGAGTTGTCAGGGCTGTGCCCGTGGCAGGACAGATTTGGGGACAGGGGCATTGATTCTGGGGTTGTACCCATGGAAAGAGATTTGGGGACAGACCTGGGGACAGGAGAATTGTCACTCTGGTTTTGCCCATGGAGGGACAGATTTGGGGACAGAGTTGGGTGGGGTTGGGCTGGGGGCCAGGCAGTGATGGCCGTGGTGGCCTCAGGCACGTGGGGTGTCCCGGCAGAGCGAGGTCAGGCATGGGGACACCCAGCGTCCCCCTTCCTGTCCCCACGGTGGGGGACTCACTCCCTGCCACCCGCTGCCACCGGGGCAGTGAGCTGTGCCCGGGTGTCGTGCTGGGCTGGCACGGGGCAGGGACACGGGGACATGGGGACATGGAGATGGGGACACAGAGATGGGATGGGGACACGGGGATGGGATGGGGACATGGAGATGGGATGGGGACACAGAGATGGGATGGGGACACAGAGATGGGATGGGGACACGGAGGTGGGATGGGGACACAGAGATGGGATGGGGACAGGGAGATGGGATGGGGACACGGAGGTGGGATGGGGACACAGAGATGGGATGGGGACAGGGAGATGGGATGGGGACACGGGGATGGGATGGGGACACGGAGATGGGATGGGGACACAGAGAGGGGATGGGGACACGGAGACAGGACCGCGATCCGAACTGGGGTGGGGACATAGCGTGGGGACAGAGCTGGCTCATGCCATGGGGACATGGCAGGGACATAGGGACAAATCCAGGGCAGGGCCATGCCATGGGGACCTGGAGCCAGAGCAGGGACACAGAGTTGGGACTTGATAAAGGGACGTGAAACTGTGATGGGAACACAGAGGTGGGACAGGGCCGTGCCACAGGGGCCTGAAGTCCCCACAAGGAGGTCTGCAGAGGCTCAAGCCATCAGATGGGTGAACCCAGGGCCGGGTGGGTGTCATTTAGGGCCTTGGGGACAAGAGCCTGTGCAGCTGAGGCTGGGCCCTACATCGCTGTGGGGACACACACGTGCAAAGCCCCTGTCCCCACGCAGGGCCTGGGCGCTGCCGCAGCCGTGTTTAGTCTGAGCAGGAGCGTGGGTGACCTTCGGCTCCCACGAGGGTAAACAGCTCCGGGGCCCCGCCTCATGGACACCCTGCAGGGCTGGGGGGCACCCAAGGGGCACCCATGGGTCCCTGGGGGGAGGTGCCACGCTGGGTCCTCCTGTGTGCCCACCACGGGTGACTGGGGCAGGGTGGGGGATGCGCCGGGGAGACCCCCACCCACAGCCCACAGAGGACAAGGTGGGGGGTCCCGGGGTGCTGCCACTGCAGGGATGTGTCCCCAGACAGACAGATGGATGGACAGACAGACAGTCTGCAGGGCCCCCCGGCGGGGACCACCCGCGCACACACACACACACACACACATGCACACACACACGCACACACGCACACGCGGTCTCCTTGCACGCCCCGACACGGGGACCACACACACGCACACACACACATGGCAGAGGCAGCTGGAAGAACAGCAGGAGACAGACAAACAGACAAAGAGACAGACAGGCAGACAGACAGACAGACAGCCAGACAGGAGGGTGGGTGGTGGGTGAGCACATGCCCGGGCCGTGCACACACACGCAGGCACAAACACGCCTGGGCGTGCACACGCGTGTGTGAATCCACGGGCACACACACACACGTGGATTCTGTGTGTGTAAAAGCGTGTTAAGCAACGGGCAAACGCGAAATTTGTGCGCACACGCGTGTGTAAATCCACAGGGATGCACACGCAGGCTCCTGCACACGCGTGTGTCCCCAATCCCTCCCACGGGGACCGGTGTCCCCCAGCCCCGCGTGGCGCCCCCTCCCCAAGCTGAGCCTTCCCCTGCCCCCCTTCCTGCCCCCCCCGGGGCCGGTTTGCCCCCCGGGCTCCCACACCGCCCCGTTCCCCGTGCCCGCCCCGCCGGAGGGACCCCTGCGCCGGCGGGGCGGAAGGCGGGGGGGCAGGCGGGGGGTCCCTCCTCCATCCCTCCTCCTCCTTCTCCTCCTCCATCCCTCCCTCCTCCTTCCTCCTCCCCTCCCCCGCCGCCCGCTCGGTGCCGGTGCCGGTGCCGGTGGCCGGGCAGCGCCGAGCATGGCCGGGGCCCGGGGGTGCCGCCGCCGCCCGGTGCTGCCCGCAGCGGTGCCCGCAGCCCTGCCCGCAGCCCTGGGGCTCTGCCTGCCCCTCTGCCTGCTGCTCCCGCTGCCCGCCGCCGCCTGGAGCCCGGCCCTGCTGCCGCCCGCCGCCCGCAGGTACCGGCACCGCGGGCACCGGGATGCGGGCACCGGGGGGCACCGGGCACGGGTATAGCTGCGGGCACTGGGGACCGAGTGCTTGGATGTAGGCACCTGGGAGATTCCGGGGATCTGTGGCTACCGGGCGTCCAAAGGATCAGCCATGGGGGCATCGGGTGTAGGTGGCATCAGCACGGGGTTCTGTGGGCACTGGGAGGCTCTGTACCAGGCGTGGGGGCACCACGGACCGGGGGGCACCGGCAGGGAGAGGCTGTGTGAGCCGTGATGCTGGGGCAGGGGAAGGCTGGGGGCACTGGGAGATACTGGGGCCAGCTGGACTTACTGGGGTATCAGAGCTGCCAGGCTCAGCAGGGTGCTGGGAGGTGCTGGGGCTGCCTGGGCATTTTGGGATCCTGGGGCTGCCTGGGCATTTTGGGGTCCTGGGGCTGCCTGGGCGTTTTGGGATCCTGGGGCTGCCTGGGCGTTTTGGGATCCTGGGGCTGCCTGGGCATTTTGGGATCCTGGGGCTGCCTGGGCATTTTGGGATCCTGGGGCTGCCTGGGCATTTGGGGATCCCGGGGCTGCCTGGGCATTTTGGGATCTTGGGGCTGCCTGGGCATTTCTGGATCCTGGGGCTGCCTGGGCATTTTGGGGTCCTGGGGGTGCCTGGGCATACAGGGACATGCTGAGGCTACTGGGTTTGCCTGGGCATATTGGGATGCTGGCGCTGCCTTGGCACGCTGGGATTACTGGGAATGCTGGGCATGGTGGGGTTCCCTGGGCATACTGGGGGTGCTGGGGCTGCCTTCTCATGCTGGGGCTACTGGGAGTGCTGGAGTTGGTGAAATGTGAATGTCCCCAGCCCCGGGGTCCTGCCCGTGCCTTGGAGGTGGCGCAGTCCGGGGGTCTGTGGTGCCGTGGGGGGCTGTGGTCCCTGTCCCACCGCCGCGGCAGGGGCGGGGGGGTTGTTTACAGGAAACCCTCGCCTCTGGCCGTGTCTCCGGCACCGGATTGCCGGGACCTCCCGGTTCCGCTCGGCTCGGTGAGGCGACGGGCAGAAGCCGCCTCATTTCCCCTTCCCCTCCCGGCCAAGCCCAGGAAGCCCCCGGCGCCTTGGCACATCCCTGCCGTGTCCCCCAGGCCAGCACCCAGCACCCACGAGCCCCCACCCCATCCCACCCCATCCCACCCCATCCCTCCCTGACGCACCGCTGGCATCCCACGTGCCCAAGCCGGGGGCACAAAGCCAAGCGGCTGATTTTGGGAATGGGAGCGGGATTCGGAGCCAAACCTGCTGTGGGCTTTGCCCCGGGTGGGCACAAGCCGTGGCAGCAGAGCCCGGACCCCCTCGGTGCCAGTGCGGTGCCGGGTGGGCCGGGGTCACGCCGGGCCATGCGGGTGCTCACATGCCAAAGCCTGCCAGCTCCTACCCCGCTCCTGGGAGGGCATTCCCCTGGGAAACGAGCCGGGACCCATCCCCATCCCATCCCATGCCATCCCCACAGGCATTCCCACAGCTGGGTGCCCCTCCAAGGGGGACGATGCCACCCGGGCCCCCTTGGCACGGCAGGGTGGCAGCGGGAGCGTGGCACAGCTCCGGCGGGCTCTGCGCCTCCACAGCCCTGGCACGGCGCCCGCCTGGGCCGCTGCCCGGCCGGAAAGCCCTGTGCCACCCGCTGTCCCCCCCGCCTCCGGCACCTCCCAGACAATTGTCCCCCCGCGGCGCCCGCTTGTCCCTGCTGCCACCGCCTCCCTCCCTGCAGCACTGCAGCGGCACCGAAAAACTCAATTTTTTGACCCAAATTGTGCAGCCTTTGAGTTTGGAGCTGCCGAGGGTACGGCGAGTCCTTCTCACCACAGGGATGGTGTCATGGCACCGGCGTGTCCCCCTCTGCAGGGGCAAACCGAGGCTGGGTGGCCGGAGAGGGGTGGGCAGAGCCTGGCATGTGGGGCAGGAGAAAGGAGCCTTTGTGTGGGGTGGGCTGGGGACACGGGGGAGCTCCGGGCCTGCTGCAGGCCGGTGCCAGCGCTGTGGGAATGCAGCAGGAATGTGCTGCCCCCGTGCCAGAGCAGGGCTCCCCACGGGCACCCCAAAAACCGGGCAAGGGTGGCAGCACCACCAGGGCGTCCCTGCACAAGGGCTGGTGACATCGGTGTTCCCCCTCCAGCAACTGGTGCTCCTACACGGTGACACGGACGGTGTCGTGCCACGTCCAGAACGGGACCTTCCTCCAGAGGGTCTTCCAGGGCTGCCGCTGGCCCCTGGCCTGCAGCGGGGGCAGGTGAGGGGGTCCCCTGGGAGCAGGGACGGCGGGGATGCCCCCAGGATGGGTGTGAATGCCACCCCTCTGTGCCACAGCTACCGCGCCGTGCTGCGGCCCCTCTACAGGGTGGCCTACAGGACGCTGACGGCGCTGGAATGGCGCTGCTGCCCCGGGCACGCCGGCAGCCACTGCCAGGAAGGTGGGAACAGCGCGGATGGGGCCTGGGCAGGGCGGGCACGGGCACCCAGGGGTGCTGGGACACGGCCTGGGGTGGCACTGGTAGGGTGGGTGAGGAGAAGGACCTGTGGGTGGGTGGGATGGATGGATGGATGGATGGATGGATGGATGGATGGATGGATGGATGATGGATGATGGATGGATGGATGGATGGATGGATGGATGATGGATGGATCCATGGATGGATGGATCCATGGATGGATGGATGATGGATGGATGGATGGATGGATGGATGGATGATGGATGGATGATGGATGGATGGATGGATGGATGGATGGATGATGGATGGATGGATCCATGGATGGATGGATGGATGATGGATCCATGGATGGATGGATGGATGATGGATGGATGGATGGATCCATGGATCCATGGATGGATGGATGATGGATGGACAGAAGGATTCTCCCATGGGTGGCACGTGTGTGCATGTCCCTGGGTGGTCAGCCAGGGGGACAGGAGTGGGTGGGCAATGGGATGTGCCTGAGGGGGGAACTAAAAGAGCCGATGGACGGGGTGTGTGTGGATGGACAGACAGACACTCCTCAGCGTGGCAGTGCCCACCAGGGCCTGCACCCCCCAGGCACGAGTGGCCGGGGGCGGGTGGGCAGTGAATGAATGGGTGCGAGGCTGTGCCGTGTGAGGGGGGGGATGGGCGCTGCCAGCTCTGACAGGGGGGTCTTTGTCCCCATTGTCACCACATCCTCCTCCTCCCTCTCCCCCAGGACCCCACTGCGGGGCTGTGATGGCAGCGGGTGGCACCCAGGGGTGGGGACACCCTGGGGTGGCACCGAGGGTCTGCAGGGCAGCGGGTGACACGGGGAGGGGGGGTCCGGAGGCAGCTGGGTGGGAGCAGAGCTGGGGGAGGCGGGGGGTTCTTCCTCCTCCTCCTCCTCCTCCTCCTCCTCCTCCTCCTCCTCCTCCTCCTCCTGCTCCTCCCTGCGTGCTTGGCCGCCTGCCCCACATCTGGCCCCACTTAGGGCTGTCCCCACGGCGGTGGCCGTGCCGGGGGGGCGGGGGTGACAGCGTGGGGGGGCTCGGGGGCCACCTCTGCTCCAGACACCCCTGTCCTGCCGTGCTGGGTGGCCCCTGGCTGCTGTCCCCAGGATCTCCCGGTGGGGGTGATTGGGGGTTCAGGGCTGAGGGGGCTGGGTTTGGGCTGAAATTTGGGGGTTATCATGAGGGGATTTGGGGGGTCTGGTTAAGGACCGCGGGTGGGTTTGGGGGTTGTGGGTTGGGGGCACCTGGCGTGTGGTCATGGAGGGTTTTGGGGGTCTGCTTCAAGACCATGGGTGGGTTTGGAGGATCCCGACTCAGGGTTAAGGGTGGGATTTGGGGTCTGAGACTCACCCAGAGCCCCGGTGGGGCCCAGCACCCCAAAGTACAACAGGAAGGTCTCCCACAGGAGGCGGTGCCCCACGGGGGGGTCCCCCCGTGCTGACCCCCCTTTCCTCGGCAGAGGCGCGCAGCCCCCTCACCCTGCGGGACCCCAACCGCCCCAGCGCCGCCCCCCGCCGGCCCCCCCTGCACCCCACGGCCTTCTCAGGTGGGTCCCCCCCCAAACCCGCTGTGGTGGGCACCGAGGGCCGGCTGCCCCCCACCCCAGCGCCTGTGCCCCCCGATTTCCCCCGCAGGGTGCCTGAACTGCAGCCGTGTCGGGGAGCTGACAGCCCGGCTCGCCACCCTGGAGGCACAGGCAAGTCTCAATTTGGGGTCTGGCCACCTCGCCCTGAACCCCCCGAGGGTCACACGAGCCCTGGGGGGGTCACCTTGTGCCCCCAGCTGTCACCCACCCCCTCTGTGCCCTCGGCAGGTGGCCCGGCTGGCGGTGGCCGAGCCCCCCATGCCAGCAGCACCCAAAGGCAGCAGCCCGGGCAGGGGGCCCCAGGCCGGGCAGCTCTGGGGGTCCCCGGCCGCCCGCGGGAGCCCCGGGGATGACGGTAAGGCAGGGTGACAATGACAGTGACAATGACAGGGACAGCTGGCAGCACCCGCAGGGCAGGGAACGCACCTGGGTGTTGTCAATATTTGGGGGGCAGGACCCCTCACTATGGGGGAAAAGCCACCCAGCTGCCACCCGCGGGGACAGGCCGGCCCTGGGGAGGCGGTGGGGTCCGGGTGTGGGTGGGGGGCACCCCTGAGGGGCTGTCCCCGGGGTCCCCACCCCCTCAGGGTGCTGCTGTGCCGCAGGGACACCCGGCTGGAGGGGACCCCCCGGCCCCAAGGGCGACGCGGGAGGACGGGGACCCTCGGGAATTCCTGGAGTGAAGGGTCCAGTGGGACCACCAGGTAAAGGGGGGACAGCGTGGGGCCAGGCTGGCCCAGCCGAGCCCCCCCTTTCCTGCTGGGCAGATTTGGGGGGTCCCTGACGCAGTTTGGGGGCTCGGAAGGGCTCCAGCCCTGCACGGCCCCAATCTTCACCCTCCTCTTCCTCCCTGCAGGTCCCCCCGGCCCCCCAGGACCACCCGGCCGGGATGGAGCCAGGGGGCTCCCCGGAGAGAAGGGGTCCCCCGGGCCCCCCGGCCCCCCGGGCCCCCCTGCCCCTGTGGGGCCAGCGATCCCCAGACTGGCCGAGCCCAGTAAGGGGGGGCTGGGCTGGGGTCCCCTCCCAGTGTGACCCCAAGAACGGGACTGGGCTGGGGGGGTCTGAGCCTCACCTGGGCTGGGGGTGTGGGGAGCTCCTGCTTGTCCCTGGGGTCCTGGGATGAGATGTGGGGCACTGGGGACCCCCAGGCCATGATTGGGGTCCCAGGATGAGATGTGGGGCACTGAGGACCCCCAGGCCATGATTGGGGTGCCAGGATAAGATGTGGGGCACTGGGCAGCACTGGGGTCCCCAGGCCATGATTGGGGTGCCAGGATGAGATGTGGGGCACTGGGGACCCCCAGGTCATCACTGGGGTCCCAGGATGAGATGTGGGGCACTGGGGACCCCCAGGCCATGATTGGGGTCCCAGGATGAGATGTGGGGCACTGGGCAGCACTGGGGACCCCCAGGCCATGATTGGGGTCCCAGGATGAGATGTGGGGCACTGGGCAGCACTGGGGACCCCGAGGCCATGATTGGGGTCCCGGGATGAGATGTGGGGCACTGGGCAGCACTGGGGACCCTCAGGCCATCACTGGGGTTCAGTAATGAAGTGTGGGACACTGGGGACCCCCAGGCCATCATTGGGGTGACAGGGACGAGACACGGGGGGGGCAGGGGAGGGGAATGTGGGCCCCAAACACCCCCTCCATTCTCCCCTCAGGGGACCCGGTCCTCTCCAACACCTTCACCGAAGCCACCAGGAGCATCGTGGGTCCCATGGGACCCCCCGGACCTGTGGGGCCAATGGGTGAGGGTGTCCCCACCCTTGTCACCCCCTGACACTTTCGGGTGCCCCAGTGTGGGGCTGAGCTGTGTCCCCTGTCCTTGCAGGTCCCCCCGGCCCCCCAGGTCCCGTCGGTCCCCCCGGGCCCCCAGGAGCCGATGTAAGTGCTGGGCTGGGGGGCACGGCAGGGTCCCCGTGTCCCCCCAGGGCTGATGTCCCCTCCTTGTCCTGGCACAGGGCAGGGCAGGAGCACCCGGAGCTGCCGGGCCCCCGGGCGAGAAGGGGGACAGGGTGAGTGTCCCCGGCCCCACACTGTGACACCGGGGGGCTGGCCGTGCCCCCCAGGGGTTCTGACACCCTCTGTGTCCCCCCCAGGGTCCCCAGGGCCACCCCTGTGGTGGCCGTGTCGGGGGAGCGGTTTGGGGGCCACCTCAGCCCCAGACAGCCCGGTCCTGCTGGGTGCCCCAAGCCGCTGTCCCCCTGTCCCCAGGGTCCCTCTGTGGGGACAGGCAGCTGTGACCCTGCCCTGGGGGTGGATGTGGGCAGTGTCCCCAGGACTGTGCCACCCCCCCGTCCAAAGCCACCCCCGGAATGGGGCTGGGGGCCGTGGAGGTGTTTGGGGTTCAGGGCTGGGGGAGATGTGGGGGGCTGGGGCTGGGTTTGGGGCTGAGATGGGGGATTTGGTGAGTGGCCGTGAGGAGATTTGGGGGGGTCCAGACCATGGGTGGGTTTGGGGGTTGTGGGTTGGGGGGGTTGTGGGGTAATGGGGGGGTTGGTGTGGGGTAATGATGGGTTGGGGGGTCCAGTGTGGGGTCATGGGAGAGTTGGAGGGGTCCAGTGTGGGGTCATGGAGGGGTTTGGGGGTTTGGTGAGTGGTAAGGGGGGGTTGGGGGGTAATGGGGGGGGTTGTGGGGGTCTGGTGTGGGGTCATGGGAGAGTTGTGGGGGTCTGGTGTGGGGTCATGGAGGGGTTGGGGGGTTTGGTGAGCAGCAGTGGGGGGGTTGGGGGGTCCGGTGTGGGGTCATGGAGGGGTTGGGGGGGGTTGGTGTGGGGTAATGATGGGTTGGGGGGTCCAGTGTGGGGTCATGGAGGGGTTGGGGGGGTTGGTGTCGGGTCATGTAGGGGTTGGGGGGTTTGGTGAGCAGTAATGGGGGGTTAGGGGGGTCCAGTGTGGGGTCATGGAGGGGTTGGGGGGGCGTTGGTGTGGGGTAATGGGGGGTTGGGGGGTCCGGTGTGGGGTCATGGAGGGGTTGGGGGGTTTGGTGAGTAGTAATGGGGGTTGGGGGGGGGGTTGGAGGGGGGTAATGATGGGTTGGGGGGTCCACTGTGGGGTCACGGGAGAGTTGGAGTGGTCCAGTGTCGGGTCATGGAGGGGTGGGGGGGGGGGCTGGGGGGGGGGGGGGGGGGGGGCCCGGTGTGGGGTCATGGAGGGGTTGGGGGGTTTGGTGAGTGGTAAGGGAGGGGTTGGGGGGTCTGGTGTGGGGTCATGGGAGAGTTGGGGGGTCCGGTGTGGGGTCATGGAGGGGTTGGGGGGGTTGGTATGGGGTAATGGGGGGTTGGGGGGTCTGGTGTGGGGTCAGGGAGGGGTTGGGGGGTTTGGTGAGCAGCAGGGGGGGGTTGGGGGGTCCGGTGTGGGGTCATGGAGGGGTTGGGGGGTTTGGTGAGTGGTAAGGGGGGGTTTGGGGGGTCCGGTGTGGGGTCATGGAGGGGTTGGGGGGGTTTGGTGAGCACTAAGGGGGGGTTGGGGGGCCGGTGTGGGTGCCAGCCGCGGGCTCTGGCAGCACCCCCCTGGTGGCGGTGTGTCGGTGCCCCCGGAGCTGATGGCTCTGTCCCCGCAGGGTCCCCAGGGCCAGCCGGGCAGCCGCGGGCAGGACGGGGCGCAGGTAGGTGCGTGGGTCGGGGTCCCCCCGGCCGCAGCCCCCCGTGCCCCCCCTGCCAGGCCCTCTCCTCTCTGTGTTTCAGGGCGAGCCGGGCCCCCGGGGCGAGCCGGGCGAGAGGGGCACTTGGGTGAGTGGCACCGGGGACACGCGGGGGATGGCACCCCGACACCCCATTGGCACCCCAGTGATGTCCTCAGGGTCCCCGCTTGTTCCCACTGCCCCACAGCTTGTCCTGGGGTCCCCAGTGATGTCCTGGGTGTCCCCAGCACCCCAAAGATGGCTCTGGGGGTCCCTGGCCAATGTCCCCCAGTGCCAATGTCACCTGAACTGGGTGGTGGGGCACAGAGTGGGCTCAGACCCCCCCGGGGGTTCCCCCTCTCCTTTCCTGGTGTCGTGGTGAGTTGGGGGTCCCCCGAGGGTGGCCTGGGGCCATTTGGGGTGCAGCCCCCGCTGAGCCCGCGCCTCTCTTCCCCAGGGGGAGGGTTTGCACCAGCTCCGCGAGGCGCTGAAGATTTTAGCGGAGAGGGTTTTAATCTTGGAAACAATGATTGGGCTCTACGGTGAGTAGGGGGACGGGGACCCCCGGGGTGACCCCCAGCCCGGCCAGCAGGTCACCGGGTCCCCGTGACCTCACGGTGGCCCTTGGCTCACCGATCTCATGGAGCTGCAGGGAGGGCACCCTCAGCAGCCCCTCCTCGTGCCATGGGGGGACAGGGACAGGTCCAGCCCCTCCAGGGGGTGACCCCATCCCTGCCGGGAGGTCACCAGGCCCCCGTGACATCAGCCATGCACGATGTCATCGCCCACATGGTGGCATCATGGCCAGCACTGGGGGCCACTCGAGGGAAGGGCCACCAGGGTCACCCTCACCTCCAGCTGGGCACCCCAGAGCCCCCCCAGGCACTGCCCCCCTCGGGCAGGGACACCTGTGACAGTCTCAGTGTTGGGGACAAGCGGGTGGCCCTCTGAGAAGGTTGGGGACATGTCCCCCCACGTTTTGGAGAGCTCAGTGCGCCGGGGGTGGCAGAGGGAGCACCCCCAGCTGGGGACATCAGTGTTCCCCCAAATGTCGGGGGGCTCAGCGTGCTGGGGATGGCAGAGGGAGCACCCCCAAGACAGGGACATCAGTGTCCCCATCAGGGCACCGCCAGGGACATCAAGCCAGCACAAGGGCCCCCTGTTGTCACCATGGACCCGCAGGGACGGGGGAGCCCCCAGCACCCTTCTGAGACTGGGAAGACCCTCCTAGGAGACCTGGCACCCCCTCCTCGTGCCCCAGCACCCCCATCCCGCTGGGGCTGCCCCCCTGCCGTGCCCCCGCCATGCTGTGCCACCCCTGCCGTGCCGTGTCCCCAGCCCGTGTCCCCGTGTCCCCGTGCCCGCCGCGGGGCCAACGCGCTCTGCTCTGCTCTGCTCTGCTCTCTCCCTCTCCCCCAGGCCAGTAGCTTCCAAACCCTCCTGCAGCAGCAGGCCCGGCTGGAGGTCCTGGCTAGAAGGGTCACCTTGCTGGAAGCCATCATCTGGCCAGGTAACCACCCCCGCCCCGCCCCGCCCCGCATGAGCCTGGAGCGCCGCGGCACCCCGGGAGCGGGCATGGGGCACGGGGGGCTGGAGCCACCGCAACGGGGCACCGGGGGCTCCGGGCCACGGGAGAGCTCGGAGACCTGCTTGGATTGAGAGGGGCAGCCATGGAGATCCTCTTGGATTGAGAGGGGCAGCCATGGAGATCGCTTGGATTGAGAGGTGACCATGGAGATCGCTTGGATTGAGAGGGGAAACCATGGAGATCCTTGGATTGAGAGGGGCAACTATGGAGATCTCTTGGATTTAGCCATGCAAACATGGAGAGCTCTTGGATTGAGAGGGGCAGCCATGGAGCTCTCAGATTTAGCTATGCAACCATGGAAATCTCTTGGATTGAGAGGTGACCATGGAGGTCTCTTGGATTGAGAGGTGACCATGGAGATCTCTTGGATTGAGAGGGGCAGCCATGGAGATCCTCTTGGATTTAGCCATGCAAACATGGAGATCTCTTGGATTGAGAGGTGACCGTGGAGATTTTTTGGGTTTAGCCATGCAACTATGGAGATCCTCTTGGATTGAGAGGGGCAACCATGGAAATCTCTTGGATTTAGCCATGCAAACATGGAGATCTCTTGGATTTAGCCATGCAATCATGGAGATCTCTTGGATTGAGAGGGGCAGCCATGGAGATCCACTTGGATTGAGAGGTGACCATGGAGATCCTCCAGGATTGAGAGGAGCAACCATGGAGATCCTCCAGGATTGAGAGAGGCAGCCATGGAGATCCTCTTGGATTTAGCCATGCAACCATGGAGATCTCTTGGATTGAGAGGTGACCATGGAGACCTCTTGGATTGAGAGGGGCAACCATGGAAATCTCTTGGATTGAGAGGGGCAGCCATGGAGATCTCTTGGATTGAGACGGGCAACCATGGAGATCTCTTGGATTTATCCATGCAGCCATGGAAATCTCTTGGATTGAGAGGTGACCATGGAGGTCCTTGTGGGCCAAGGGAAACTGGAACTTGCCAAGGTTTAAGGGAGACCACGGAGAGACCCTCTCACCCCAAAGGAGCCCATGGAGACCCCTCTTGGACCAAGAGGAACCCTGGAGCTCTTTAGGGTTCCAGGGAGCCCATGGAGAGGACTCTCTCACTCCAAAGGAGACCATGGAGACCCCTCTTGGATCATGGAGGTCCCTCAAGGCCAAGAGAAGCTCCAGAGCCCCTCTGGAACCACGGGAGACCATGGAGCCCCTGTTGGGCCAAGAGAAACCCTGGAGCTCCCCAGGGCTCCAGGAAATCCTTGGAGAAGGGAGACCATGGAGACCCCCTCAAGCCAAGGGAGGCGCAGGGACCCCCCAGGCTCACCGGAGACCACGGGGACCCTCTCAGACTGCAGTGGCTCCCAGCGCTCCCGTTGTCCCAAGGGACCCCCGGTGCCAACCCCCCCGTGCCAGGGTGCCCCCCACCCTCACCCCCCTGCCCCCTCCCCATTCCAGCTGTGCTTTCCCAAGGGCTCCAACCGGGGGTGCCAGGCAGGGGTGCCAGCTGGGGGGTCCTCGGGTGGCTGTCCCCAGGGCTTGGGGACACTCAGAGCCACAGTGGGGCAATGACCCCCATTTCTGTGGGGCAGAACACCCACAGCACAGCCCCCAGCGCCCATTTGGGGGATTCTGGAGCAGGGGGGTGACATCCCACCCCTGACACCCCTTTTTTCCTCTCCTCCCGCAGAGCCAGAGCCCGGCTCGGGCAGCGGCGCCCCCAGCACGGCGACCCCCGGGGTGCCCCGTGGCAAGCGTGGCAGCGGCCACCCCCCGTACCGCATCGTCACCGCCGCCCGCCGTGCGCCCCCAGAGCCGTGACAGGGGCGTCACCCAGGCCACCCCCGTCACCCAGGCCACCCCCGTCACCCAGGCCACCCCCATCACCCAGGCCACCCCCGTCACCCAGGCCACCCCCGCTGTGCCACCCTGGGGAGCAGGACAGGCTCAGCGCCGTCCCCCCTCTTGGTGCTACTGGTGGCACGGCTCCGTCCCCCCCACCACGCTTCGCCCCCATCGCCGCTGCTTGAGCCCCCGGGAGGGCCGGGGGTGTCCCCAAGGCCATTTCTGTCCCCTGGCCAAGGCGGAGCTCCGGGGGGATGGGCTCTGTCTCATCCCATCCCCCCGTGCACCCCAGCCCGAGGGAGGGGATTTGGGAGGCTGGCGGTGGGGACTCCCCAGGTGGGGACCCCGCTGTGCCACGCGCTTCGCTGCTTTGGGACCTGCCAGGTCATTAAATGTCCCCAAATCCCTGTCCTGTGGGGTCGCTTGGTGTGCCGGGGACATCCCAGGTGACCCGGGCACAAATGGGGTGGGATGGGATAGGATTCACGGGATGGGATGGGATAGGATCTATGGGATGGGATCTATGGGATGGGATGGGATGGGATGGGATGGGATGGGATGGGATGGGATGGGATGGGATGGGATGGGATGGGATGGGATGGGATGGGATGGGATGGCATTCAGGGACACCCAGGGGACACACGGCTGTGCCATGGGACACCTACCCACGATGTGACACCAGTCCATGCAACGTCAGCCCTGGGACACCCACCCACATCCCACCACCCATGGGACACCCAGCTGTGCCACCACACCCCGGGTCACCCCCCAGTGCACGCAGGACACGCGGTACTGCACCCCCGCATGTCCTCATGGGACACGATGACATCACACAGCGATGACACGCAGTGACGTCACTCTGCCACGTGGGCAGCGCACAATGTCAACCCCAGCACGGGGACGCCAACCAGCACCCGCCGTGACACTTCTGGGCCCCTGGTGACGTCACACACAGCCCACAGCGTCACCCGCCGGCAGGTGACACCGAGTGACGGACCAGGAGGCGCCGCCAGGCGACACCCGGGGCTCACTGCCTGCGTGACGTCACGGCGGCCCCGCTACGCCTCCATGACATCACTACGCCGGTCATGACGTCACGCCCCCGCCGCGCTCCCCGCTCCGCCTCGCGGCCCGAGCGCCTCTTGCGCGACGGTCCCTAACGGCCGCGGGCCGTACCATCCCGCCCCCGGCGGGGGGGGGGAAGCGCCCAGCGAGGCGGCGGAGCCGCCATCCGGAGCGGCGGCCGCTGCCCGCGGGGCCGTCCCGGTTCCCCGCGCACGGCAGCAGCGGCGGGCGGGCGGCGGAGCGGGGCGGGCCGAGCCCCCGGGCCGCGTTCTGCCGGCGGCGCCCCCCGGGCCCGGGGTGGTGCGCGCGGCGGGGCCGGGCGGCGCATGCGCGGCGCGGGGCGGGGCCGGGCGGGCAGCGCGGAGGAGGAAGGCGAGAAAATGGCGTCGACGGGTGAGCGGGGCCGGGGCGGGCCGGGCCCGGGGCGGGCGGCGAGGCGGGACGGGACCCCCGGCAGCGCCGCCGCCCCCGCCGCGGAGCGGCCGGAGGGGCGCTGGGACGGCGCCGCCGGCCCGAGGCGCCGCGCCCGGGGGCCGCTGGGGTCGGGCCGTGCAGGGCCCGTCCCGCCCGTGTCCCGCCGGTCCGCCCGCCCGGGCCGCGCCGGGGCCGCGGGTGTTTCCCCTCAGTGTCCTCCGCGTCTCTCGCGGCCCCTCGGTGCCGCGGGATGCCGGAGCCCCGCGCTCGCAGCAGCCGAGCCCGAGCGGGGCTCGCTCCGGCCCTGGCGGGCGGGTCTGGGCGCGATGCGGGAGCGCTGCGGGTGCGAAGGGAGCTGGAGCTCATCCCGGGGCAGCGACACCTCCCCCTGTCCCTGCGGGCGGCCAGCCCGGCCCTGGGCACCGCCAGGCACGGAGCATCCTCTGGGATCTCCGCTCCAGCACCTCCCAGCCAGCAATTCCTGCCCAAAATCCCACCCAGCCCTGCCCGCTGGCAGTGGGAGCCATTCCCTGTGTCCTGTCCCTCCATCCCTTGTCCCCAGTCCCTCTCCAGCTCTCTTGGAGCTCCTTTATGCCCTGGAAGGGGCTTTGAGCTCTCCTTGAAGCCTTCTCCTCTCCCAGCTTTTCCCCACAGGGAGATAAGATGTTCCACCATCTCCATGGCGCCACAATTTTCTGAATGAAACGTTTTTCCACGCGGGCTCCAGCTGGATACAAATAGTTGGAGACAGAGACTCTCCAGCTCAGTACACCTTAAAGTACTTTAAATCACAGCAGGATTTGACTCCCTTTAAAAGAATGAGGATTTTCCTTTTTTCCAACAAGGAAAATCTCGAGGCCATGGAGTGTGAGGGAATATCACCAACAGCACCTTGGGGAGCTTGAAAAAGAAAAGTCAGTAAAGGAACATCTGCCAGTGGAATTGTCAGGACGGGGGTTAAAACCACAGCTGTGTTTTCCCTTAATTCATGGAATTGTTCCTCCTGGGAGCTGCTATTTTCAGCCTCTGGTGTGCTTCTGAGCCTTGTGAAATAAAAGGAAGAAGATTAATTTCCCCCTGGAAATAAAAGCCAGGAGATGGGTTTAACTAAATGAACCATAATATTATTTTTTATTAATGTTCTGTGTTCCTCTAAATCCCAGCAAATTAAAAGAGAGGCATCACCACAGGCAAACTGCAAATTCCACACCTGGAATTAAATCCTGCAGAGGGGGAAATGTTGGGTTTGGGTGGGACTGGGGGAGGGCTGTGAGGAGAGGGGTTGATTGATACCCCTGCATGGAGCTCAAGGGCAAAATGGGCTGAAAACAGAGAATTAAATGAGGTTTTGGTGGCTGGAGGGTGAGCAGGGAAAAAAGTGGAGTGGTAGGAAAGGGAAGCTGGATGAGGGGGACCAGGCATTAATTAACACTCAGGATTTAGCAGAACCACGTGTAAAGTGAATGAAAAAAAAACAAAAAACAAAAAACAAACAAACCCAGAACCCTGAACTGAACAAGGAAAATGTTCCAATATCCCACGTGCCAACCTGAGAGGGAAGTGGGAATGCTGCCAGGGGAGTTTAACAATTTGTGCCTTGCGTCTTGGGAGCAGGGAAACCTTTGGAGAGCTCCAAGTGTCTTCTTTCCCCGTGTGAGGTGTTCTGGGCAAGGTCAAAGGAGTGAACAACTGCCAGGGATTCCTGCTGGGATCCCAGCAGGGCTGTTCCTGCCTCCAGCAGGGATCCAGGGGCTCTGCTCCTGCCCAGGGAGCAGGAGAAGCTGGGAGCACCCCTGGAGGCTGGGCAGGAAGGGTTTAGTGGGGATGGATGCACAGGCTGAGGAACAGGAGGTTGTGCTGGATGGAAGCTGTGTTTTCCAATGTTTTCCAAGTGATTCCTGGGGCTCCATGCCTTGGGAATAGTGGGATAATGGCATTAAAGCCAGGCAGAATTTGTTTCCTCAGGTTCTCCAGTGCAGGAGTTGAGCTTGAGCCGTGTGGGTCTCTCCCACTTGGGGATATTCCATGATTCTTGGGAAAAACTTGGATTTCTGGCCAAGGTGTGATGGGGACAGTGGGAACTCTTCCCACACAGGGATGGCTGGGAGCAGCTCCACTGATGCAGCTTCTGGCTGTGGCCTCCACCAGGAGCTTCTGGGCTCATTCCTGATTTCCTGAGCACCCTCTGTGCTCCTGGCAGAGCTGGGATCTCTGGCCAGGTCTGCTGGGAATGATGAATTCATCCCTGCTCCAGACCTTGGGTTGGGAGCTGGAGCTGTTGCTGCCTGTGAGGGAACTGGGAGCTGCAGTCCTTTCAAATTTAGCCTCCTAATTGCCATGTGGATTCGTTTTCCATCCCTGCCAGCAAATCAGTTCACATCAAAAGCCCAGGCTTTGCTGCTGGGGTTTTCAGGATTTTGGTACTCCTCCCAGTCGGTTGTGATTGAGGATTTGAGGAGGGAATCACTCCCATCTTCCCAGCTCCAGCCCTTCCAGGGGATAAGTGGCTTTCCAGCCATCCGTGTGTGTCCTTGAAAGGGAAGGAGTGAAGGTGGTGAAACCTTCCAGCCCAGCCCTTTCAGAGCAGGGTGGTGGGTTTGGAAGGCTCAAATCCCTGCTTTTCCTTTGTTCCAACCCAAATCCCCCCCTGCCAGCCCCCTGGGATCCATCCAAGGTGGCAGTTAAATTGAACCGGGGTCATTTGAGATCAAAGTGGCTGCTGCAAGCAGCAGGAACAATGAGGGGAAGGGAGGTTTTGTTCCCCTCCAAAAGGAGGACTGAAAATGTGCATTTACCTTCCACCCTTGGGAAACTGGAATTCCAGTGGTTTATAGCGAGCTGCAGGAGGAAATTCCAGCTGCTGTGCTCTTGGTCTCTTTAATTTTATTAAGCCTTTATCAATGTTTTTATTCTTTTTTCTTCTCTTTTTCTTTTAGATTACAGTACATATAGCCAAGCTGCAGCTCAGCAGGGGTAAGTAGCTCATCCTCCCTGTTTTAAAAAGATGTCATAAAAGTAGATCATAATTACGGTTTGGGCTTTACTCAGGTATGTTTGGAAAATCCTGAGGGTTTTCCTGGAGCTTTCTATTCCCATAGAATTTCAGCAAGAAACCATTGGGGCTGCATGAAAATTTGTCTGGCGATGCAGATTTGGGGCAAGATTATAAATGTCTTTACATTCATTCCACAGCTACAGCGCCTATGCACCTCAGCCAGCCCAAGGATATGCACAGACCACCCAGGTAAAACATGGGGAGGGGGTGGAATTCCTGCTCAATCACCTGTTTTCCAGGAAAACTGGAAACTCCGAGTGGCAGCGTCAAAATCTGGGGTTAAAAGTTGTCTTGGAGCTTCTCCCCCAGCCCAAAGTGCTTTTTAAAAGTGGAAATAACCTCAACAATCCCCCTTTTTTTGTTAATTTA